AATATAGCACAATTATTCAAATTTTGCCTCATGATTTTGAACATAATCTATTCTTAATGTTGTGGTGCGACAAATAAAAAAGGCATGCAAAGTACAATCCCTACACTTACATTTATTTGTTTCAAAAGCATTCTTAATGACTGAAAAATAACACTAGATGAAGCTCCAAATTGGAAAATTTTTCAAACCTAACCCATGTCCTCTCTTAATTTATTCAAAACACAAAAAGAGTTTCAATCTATGTGGTGCATAACAGCTAATACACACTTTCTAATGGTACTTACAAATCTACTACAAATTAAGTTAGTTAATATGTTCATCATTTTTATTGTTAATAAATCAGACACATTATACTATTCAAACCTTTAATTGAAGGTATCAACAAAAAATAATCAACAGAATTCATAATCCATCTACAAGAATAGGTTTTGTAAACTCATCCGCAATTTCAGTTCACTCTCTAACAATGTTTCTCCAACATATGAACCAATCATGAACCAGGTCAATGATAAACAAAAGACTCAAGAACAGAACGCAAGGGTAAGGGCAAACGAAACACTCATTGTCAACACTTGGAGCTCAGTCGCAAGCCAACGTCGAGTCTAACCAATGCAACAAAACTGAGGTGCCACGAAAGGGAATGACGAACGCGAGCCAACGCTAATGATGTGCGAGGAAAGGGAACCACTGAGGGGAGGCAATACCAACAATGCACACACAAGGTAAGATGAAGGACACGCAAAGGCACCGGAAACGACGAAAATGAGACACAACGGAATATGGACATTTTTTTTCTACCATGGTATGCAACTCCCTTTTTCTTGAATTCGCTTCAGTCCTCTTCCAACTTTAAAATTTTAATTTAACTAGAATTTGTCACTTCACTACCACCTCACTAATAAAAAATGTCACTTCACGGATCTTAACGATTGATCTTGGAACCAAATAATATATTATTAATAAATAATAAATAAATATAAAAGGAAGAAAGAATATGAAAGGGTAAAAAAATAAAATTGTAGATATATACTTAAATATATTAAATGATCATTAAGTTTGAGGGAAACAAAATCATGAATTATATGAGAGTTACAAAACTAAAGAGGGGCTAAGAAAATAAAATTGTAAATATACAAGTAAATATATTAAATGTTCATTATGTTTGAGGGTCAAAATCATAAATTACATGGGAATTACAAAACTTGGGGGGGTCATGACCCTCTTCAGCTCCCAAGAAGATCCTGCTTATGTCAGAGTGTCTACTTTTTTGGCGTACGGGGATCGCTGCTCTATTACAATGCATGTCTAAATGATACCATAATCGACGTCTACCGATTTTAGCAAGATATGTAAGTGTTTTATCATATAACTAAGAGTTCATGTTGGTAAAATGGTTATAGAAGGTCACTCGTGCAACTTCTAACACCTTTAACAGCTAGTTCTATATGAATGAATGAATATATATTAAAAATATAATTGATTTGAGAGGATCTTATATCACAATATAGTCTTAATTAAGAAAAGTTTATCTTTTACTTGAGAGAATAATCTAATTTAAGAAAGGGTTGATTGTAAAAGAATATTGCAGGTACTATTTTGAGAGACACAGTTAAAACAATACTTGATTAAACCTAAGAAAAAAAGTACTTGTAACACACAGGAAACTTATGATTTTGTCAAATGTAGTTCTAGTAATTAAAAATAAAATAACATAATATTTCTTCTTATGTGGCTTTAAAAAATGTTTTCCAAACCAGCATTCTAAACTATAGTATTTTATTTGTGATTTTTGTTTTTTAATTTCCTTCTTGTGATATTTCGTTAAAATACCTATCTGTGTTTGATTAATATTTAAATTCTACTTTTTTTAATAAAATGATGTTCAAATGCACGTCATAAATTTTATAAAATATAAAATGGAGAAAAACAAATAATGAATAGATTAGGTCAACTCATTAAAAAAATAAAAATAAAATTAAGAAAATTAAAAGTCAGTAAGACCTATTCTGTTAAAAATAACTATAGCATATAAAACTAGGAATAGAATACCACCTAAGAAATTCGGTTTATTTTTAAAATTAAATATAAATAAAATATTATACACACAAATTACTTTCTTCAAAGATAAATAAACGAAAAATCTTAATCTTATGCATCTTAACACATTTTATCTATCTAAATAAGAAATGTCTTAAATGACATTTTTTAAAACTGAAAATTTGAAAGAAAAAAATATTTTCTCTCTCCCCATTTTATTTTTATTTTCTTCTTTTTATGATTGTTCTGAGATTATTTGTGGATATAATTGAATTTCTCCTTTTCTAAAGTATGATTTAAACATAACAATGATTATTCTAATTTAATTTCCTTAAGATTCTTTTATTCATTCTTGATTTTCCATTATTGATTTATATATGCTAACTGTTACATAATTAAAGACGCATAGGGAATAACTGAAAATAAAAATCTAACACGTTCATGGCCATGTAATTGAAGAACCTAGATTTTATCTCACTACAGTACAAATAATAACAACACGAAAGTGAAATTTAAGATAAATGATTAAAATATTTTATATATTTTATCGAAATCCTATTAACGCTAGATTTCATAACATGATAAAAATGATTGGAGATGAGAGTTTTTGTTTGAATAACTTCAGTGGAAAAGGATACATTTTTAAATATTTAATTTCATAAAATCCAATTAAAAAAATTACCTAAAAAAGATAAAATTGAAAGAGTAAAAATCGCTAAAAAGTAATCTTAATACTCATATACATTCCTGAGAGATTTATTTTTCCGATTTTATTTTACTAAAATTTAAAATATTTTTCAGACATCCAATTTATTTTATTTTATATAAAAAAATACTGAAAACAATTTTTATTTTCAAACATGAAGAATTATATTTGATGTCACATTATGTGTCATTTTCAGAAAGACAGAAGAATATGTTGTTTTGTAAGATGTAGCTGGCTAAAGTTGAAAGCAATTAAGTTTAGTGGTCCTTCACTCTTTGTCACCTTCAAATTATCATTTTATTTTTATTTTTATTTTTTAAAACGTCTTTGTCATATATGTGTGTCGGTCTTAACCAAAAGCTATGATTATCTTCAGCCTTTAATATTTTAAAAAAATACTCTAAAATATAAATATTTTTATAAAAATAAAATAAAATAAACTTCTTCGTAAATTAAAGTTAATTTATAAACAAGTTAATTCCTACAAATTCAATCATATGTTTAAAATTTATGTGTATAGTGGAAATTGTGATACCTTGAATATCATATGAAGATGTGTAGATACCTTCAAACGGCTTTCCAACATAAATCAATATTTATCCCAAAATAGCAAAAGTTATAAGGGTGTAACAAATGAATAGTGATATTATTTTAGAAGTGATAAACATATTTTATTAATAATTTTAATAACATAATTTGTATATATTTAATTAATTAATAATATAATTTTGATAAAAGAAAACAAATATTTATGTATTTAATTTATTGTTTAAATTGTGTAATTTAATTATTTTTTAAGAATAATAAATTAAAATAAATAAAAGATTTATTCTAAAAGATTTGTTTAACGTAGAACAATTCCGATCAATGAATTTCTGTTAGAAAATTTATCGAAGATTTTGCAATTTAACTAAACGAATATTGAGCAAAAGTGACGATTCTAATCAACTAATTGGTGATTTTGTTGAACAAGCAAAAAATTGTTGTTGAGCAAATCAGTAATTTTTTTTTTTACTTTTTCATGATTTAACTTCTAAATCCGAATATTGTACAAATTCATCATTAAATATATCAATTCAAGATGGTTTAGATGAAATTTGTCTTCTCTTTCTCTACTCTTTTTATTTAATTTTCATTTTCACTTCTTCTCTTTTATTTTTTTTTATTTTCACACATTTTCTTGTTTTTTTTTTCATGTTCTAAATTGTTTGTGTGGTTGATTATTGATTAAGTCTTGTTTGCTATAATTTAGAATTGATTATTAATGATTCTAAGCTATTATAATGTAACAATGTTTCATTTTAATTTAATTGAATCGTAATTAATCAAAATAACTGTTGAATGTTTTTCATACCTAATTTCAATTAAAATTATAATTTCACTCTTTTGAATTCAAATTTAACGTTTCCTTTGCAACATTTAAATGCTTTCTTGATATTAGATTTATCGTTTTTTTTCAATTTACAATTTTATTTTACATAACATGTATAGTTTCAAATTTGATAAAATAGATTTATGTTTTGCACAAATTTATAAGTTTTAGTAATGAAGATTTATTACATTTGATTCATATTTCATGTCATTTAAATACTTTTATTTATTGTTTTTCTTAAATTAGTTTACTATGTTACTCCTATCATAGATTTAAGGTCTCGATTTTATTGCTTTATATTCAAAATACCTTAAATCCCTTTTCCTTCTAACTTTTTATAAATTAAAATCAAGGATTATACATCATTAACCAATTCTTCTTAAATATACAACTACATCAATCTTAAAACTACATTAATATTTATACATATTTGATGAATCTTAACCCATCCTATATACTTATTATTGAACTTTTCCCAAATTTTTTTGTTTAACTATGCTAACACTTGAATGTCTCTGGTTACGCATGATTTCGAATACCCAAAAAGAAAAGGACAAGACTTTAAATTTCTTTAAATATTTAGCACCTTGAACACTTTGAGTCTTCGTATAATATCTTCTCTAAGTAACCTTTAATTAGATAAAGTTTGATTTATCTGTTAGCAAGATCCACGGCAAAATAAATAATTGGGGTATGCTAATATTTTTCCAATCACGTACATGCGAAGTCCTTCTCCTGTTTTTTCCTCGTTTCTTCCACGAAAGGCTTCCATGACATAATAATAATCAAACACATAATGGAATTTGGGATAGTTCCACCTTTTGAAATTTGATTTTGTCTTTTGCGTGTTAACCACGATCATTTGCATAGAGAAACAACAACAAGATGGTATGTACCAAGTAGTTTACTTAAAATAAATAAAAAATCTAATTTGAGGAGACTTTGCAATTCAAGTCATCAATAAATATAATTTCTAGTTGCATGATTCTCAAAGTTGGTGAGTATTTAAATCCTAATAGGTTATGGGTTTATGTGCATGATTCATGTTACTTAACTGAGTTGTTGTTTTCCACAAGGAGAAAGAAAGATCCATAGTGTGCATAATTGCAAATATTTGGTTCTTGTTGTTCTTCCAATTTGGTGCTATCATCATGGAGACCAATGCATCTCCCCACAACATCAATTCAAACAAGTACATGGTACCTGAAAAACAACCTTACAGAACCTGGTACCACTTTCAGCCTCCACAAAATTGGATGAATGGTATTATCCTTAGCATTTTCTTAATTTGTTCATCTACTTCTACCACACATGCTTACTTCTAATTCTTTTCTCTCTGTCATTCGCATATTTTGCTGATGAAAATTGAAAATGGTGGCCTTCATCCTGCAGATCCAAATGGTATGCCTGTGAACTTCTCTCCAACTTTCAGTTAAATTGAAATCTGTCTCTTTTCCATGTTACTACCCCTCCCCGATGAGAAATTATGTGGAGAAATAAAACAATCATTTGCTGTCCATGTTACCCAATTAGAAATTACTTATGACATGTATAACTATCACATGTTTAAGGTTCCAACTAATTTTTACGTATGATATATGTAGTCAAAGTTTTCAATTTAAAAAGAAAGAATTAATAAAATTTTACTATATGTTACTTGAAGATTGGTCAAGACCATGAAAGTCCTGGTTATAAAATAATTTCTTCTTTAAAATAGGTGTTACTGCACTACTATTTCATCTACTTGTCAACTCTTTATTCAATGAAACACATCAAAATTATGATCTAATGACAAGTGTTGGTTTAATTGCCACAGGACCAATGTACTACAAAGGAGTTTACCACTTTTTCTACCAATTCAACCCTTATGCACCAACCTTTGGTAGGCACATGGTATGGGGTCATTCCGTATCCTATGATCTCATCAATTGGATTCATCTAAATCATGCTCTTGAACCAAGTGAGTCCTATGACATTAATGGCTGCTATTCTGGCTCAATCACAACCCTCCATGGGGAAAAACCTATCATTATGTATACAGGGAGTGATTCTAACGAGCATCAAATCCAGAACTTGGCTATGCCAAAGAATCTATCAGACCCCTTCTTAAGGGAATGGGAGAAACACCCTGAAAACCCTATCTTGATTCCACCAAGTGGAGTAGAAGTGGATGGATTCAGAGACCCTACAACTGCTTGGCAAGGAAGTGATGGCAAATGGAGAGTGATTATTGGTGCCAAAAGTGGTGATGAAGGGAAGGCTCTTCTCTACCATAGTGAGGATTTTGTTAATTGGAAACTACTTCCCAATCCTTTGTATGCATCAGAAAATACTGGGATGTTTGAGTGTCCAGATTTTTTTCCAGTGCACATCAGTGGCACAAAGAATGGGGTGGATACATCTGTCCAAAACAGCAGTGTCAAGCATGTCTTGAAAATGAGCTATCAAAACAAACAACTAGAGTACTATTTTCTAGGTGACTATTTCCTTGATCAGGAAAAGTTTGTTCCTGATGCTGATTTGGAAGGACCTAGTCTGAACTTAATATTGGACCATGGAATGTTTTATGCATCCAAGTCATTTTTTGACTATGCCAAAAACAGAAGGATATTGTGGGGATGGTCAAAGGAGTGTGACACAACACAAGATGATTATGAGAAAGGATGGGCTGGTCTACAGGTATTTATTTAGCTCCACGTTGAACTTTTTCTTTTTCTTATTTCACCGCCCTCCGTGTCAAAAATTGTTTTAGGACTACATTCTCATCAAGTGATCATCTTGGTATTTTAAGATGTGGTTGTTTGGCAATGTAGAGTATTCCAAGGCAAGTTTGGCTTGATACAAGTGGGAAGATGTTGATGCAGTGGCCAATTGAAGAGGTAGAAAAACTACGTGATGAAAAAATTAGCATAACGGGAGAGAAACTGATTGGTGGAGCAATTATTGAAGTCGCAGGTATCACAGCATCACAGGTAAGCAAACTTGTGTTGTATTTTCTCAAATTCTTTTCTTACGAATTTTAAAATCAAGTACAACATACATGATGATTGTTTTGAAACTTAACTTTTCAAGGCCGATGTAGAAGTGTTGTTTGAGCTACCAGAACTAGAGAATGCAGAGTTGCTAGATGAAAGTGAAGTTGATCCACACTTACTGTGTAGCGAAGAATACGCATCAAGAAGTGGCATAATAGGGCCATTCGGGTTGTTAGCTTTAGCATCTGAGGACCAAACAGAACACACTGCAATCTTCTTCAGAATATATAGGGCTCCCAATGGATTTGTATGCCTCATGTGCAGTGACCAAAGCAGGTTATTTCTGACATTCTCACTATTTGTAAATTATGGTGCTTATATTTTATGGTTGAGACTTGAGTGAGTGTATGAGTTGTCTACACTTCACAGGTCTTCATTGCGGCAGAACCTTGATAAAACCTCTTATGGAACTATCTTTGGCATAGACCCCAATCAAAAAACGATTTCACTCAGAAGCTTGGTAAGTTTACTGATAATGATAAATACTACCCTTTTTGTTTCATCATGTGCTTGCGAATTTGATGTATATAGGTTCATATTATGCAGATTGACCGTTCCATTATTGAGAGTTTTGGGGAGAAAGGAAGAGTTTGTATTACCAGTAGAGTTTATCCCTCGTTGGCTATAGACAAAGATGCACATCTTCATGTATTCAACAATGGAAGGCAGAGTGTGGTGATCTCAGAACTGAATGCTTGGAGCATGAAGAAAGCAGAATTTGGCCAAGAAGAAAACATAAAATAAGAAGTAGCTAACAAGGATTTGGATATATTCTCTGTTTTTTCTCTCTTAAAACAAGAATAAGGTTTCTAAATAAATTTCTATCATTTACAATTGGTTCCTTTCACTTTTTTTCATGATATGATATGCATTTATTATATTGTATACCTAAGCTAACATGTAACTAAATATGTTTAAATGTCACGTTATTAGTAAATTTTGATGAAGAGGAAATTTTCACAAACATCAAGAAAAAAAGGAAGAGGAAATGATATTTTTCTTGGACTCAACAAGCAGACGAGAATAAGAAGAGAAAATGAAAATCCATCTGTTGTTGGACACCAACATAAAGCAACAAATAAGAAACGAATGAAGCCTCAAAGAAGAAAAATATCTAACAGCACCAACGATTAATGAACATATCAATTAAACATCTTACAAATTAAAAATTGAAAATATGCGTTTCATCCTTTGCACCCCAATTAGGTAGAGAAGAAAATGAGATTACAAAATGGAATGAATTCATCACTTCCCACCCTCTCTCATCTTCATTTATGTGAACCAAACAAGGAAAGATTTTTTTTTCTTTTCGTTTCTCTCTCCATCATCAAACCAAACAAACCCATAGAGTGTATTTTTCTGCACTTCTATAAAAATCTGGACACAAATCCTTTTCTTTTAGAAAAAATATTTCAAATATATTTTAAAATTTTAAAATACCTTTGAACTTGAACTAAATGAGCTAACTATATTAAATGAATTGTTTACTTTTAGAATTATGGACAACATATGTTGCCAATTGGTTAATGATACTTAAAATCTATTTAATCTTTTGTAAGTGAAACTCACTAGAATAGTGAAGTAATCACTTGACTTTAAAATGATAAAATAATATTGAAAAAAAAGGTTGAAGATGAATTACGAGTTCGAGTCCACTTTATAAAAATAAGAAATTTGAGAATTATAAAAGACTCTAAACCTTAAATGTTAATATTTTAAATTAAAAATGATATTATATTTTCTTTTATGACTCATGTATCTTATCGTAATTTTTCCTCGTAAATATTCAATACCGTATTAGAAGAGATGGTAAGTGTCAAATTGAGTATATACAAATATAGTTTTTTTTTTTCGATTTTCAATAGAAAATAGAGGCAAAGGAGCCCTTTCATAATTCAAGCTTCACAAACTATTTGTAACACCTAAAATCAATGTAACAATAAAATATCAGATAAAACAGTGCAAAACTAATGGAGCAGTGAAATGGAATTGTCGTAATTACCAATAGAATTTGGAACGATTGAGTTTGATTTACAAGGAATTAAAATTGGAAATCATAACGAAGCTAAAACGTAATTGAATTCCAAACGTCCAATGCGGATATCTGAAGACAGGAATGATGAGATGAGTAACAGAGTTCGTTTTAGAAATAGATAAGGAATGAGTAGAGAATGAGCAGAAACAATTAGTAGAAATGATTGCACACCAGTCACGTGCCTCTCTCATTGAATGAATTCCTTTAAATACACATTTTCCTTCCATTCACATGTACTTCTCCTTAATGCCTTATCATGCGGATCCATTTCCACTTGGCCCCTTCCTTCCACTATATTTTCTGTTATTTTTTTTTTTTTGTAGCAATACCCTTCCCTTTAAGATCAACCTTGCCCTCAAGGTTGAATTAAGGATAAGTGTTACGAAATTCCTCAAGATCTTCCCAAGTAGCTTCATTGGCTTGAGTCGATTGCCACTGTACTAACACTTGTTGTATATCAACATCATTACGTCTTATAACTCTTTGCTGCAGCACTGTTGTAGGACTTAAGATTGGTCCAAATTCACTGGTGGTCAAAGGTAAGGGTATGTATTGTTGGGAGTGGGTCCCTTCAAACTTTTTAAGCAAGGAAATGTGGAAAGCAGGATGAATTCTAGCTGTATCAGGAAGCCTCAACTTATAAGCAATTGGACCTATTTTCTCCACCACTTCAAATGGTCCAAAGAAGTGCATGCCTAATTTTTTATTCTTTCTAAGAGCCACTGAATGTTTTCTGTAGGGCTGCAATTTGACTAATGCGAGATCACCAATGTGCAGCTGAAAATCTCTTCTCTTCTTATCTGCTTGGAGCTTCATATAGTTTTGAGTCTTCATCAAATTGGCTTTGAGCTGATGCAACATCTTGTCTCTATTGATTAAGGACTCTTGAATCGGAAGTGGATCTGTATTATGGACTTCATAAGGAACAACTAAAGGAGGTTCTCTGCCAAAAACAACTTTGAAAGGACTCATTTTTATGCTGTGATGATAGGAAGAATTGTACCAAAATTGTGCCCAGGGAAGCATATAGTACCAAAGCTTCGGATTTTCAAAAACATAACACCTCAAATACATCTCCAAAGTCTTGTTAAATACCTCATTTTGACCGTCACTTTGGAGATGATATGCGGAACTCATGGCCAAGGTTGTGCCTTGAGCTCTAAATAAATGTTGCCAAGCTGATAAAAATCCTGTCACGGTCAGATACAATGGTTCTGGGAAAACCATGAATTTTTGCCACATGATCAATAAAAGCTTCTGCTACAGTTTTGCTGTTAAAATTGGATTTCAAGGCAATGAAATGACCAAACTTCGAAAGCTTATCCACTACCACCAGAATAGTAGAAAAACCATGTGAAGAAGGGAGATTTGTAATGAAGTCCATGGATATGTCCTCCCAAATTTGTTGAGGTATTGGCAAAGGTTGTAGCAGACCATTAGGTAGATCTTGGTCCACTTTAGCTTGCTGACGACATATGCTACAATTTCGAATATAGGTCTTGATCTCTTCCTACATTTTTGGCCAATAAAATTGGTTGCAGATTCTAACTCTTGTTTTAGTATTTCCAGCATGACCCCCCACCTTGGAATCATGAAATTTGTGCAGAATCATATTCTTCAATTACGAATAAGCCGGTATCATTAATCTACCTCTTCTGAAAACCATGTCATCTTTAACAACAAACTTGTCCAAAGGTAATGTACCCTGAGTATTTTGAATCAACAATTTACTTAACTTTGCATCCTCCCTTGTCAGTTTCGGTATCTGCTCCAACCATTAAATTGTGCTTCTGACCAAGTCATCAAACAACTTCTAGACAATGCATCAGCTGGTATGTTTTCTTTTCCAGGCTTATAATGGATAGTATAATCATAACCTAGGAACTAGGTAACCATTATTGTTGCTCAGGAGTTTGCAACTTCTGTTCTAACAATTCTTTCAAGCTTTTCTGATCTGTGTTAATGATGAATTTATTTCCCAACAAATAATGTCTAAATTTAGCCAAAGTCTCTGTTATGGCATAGAAATTCCTAGTATAAACAGATTGTTTATGCATTCTAGGGGAGAGTTTCTTGGAGAAATAAGCGATTGGATGGTGAGCTTGGCTAAGAACAGCTCCAATTCCTGACCCAGATGCATTAGTCTCTAAGATAAATGGCTCCTTAAAGTTGGGGATGTCCAACACAGGCGCAGAAGTCATCAAGTCCTTCAAGCTGTCAAAAGCTAAGGATGCTTTTTCAGTCCAATTAACTAATTCTTTCTTTAACAAATCAATTAAAGGTGCAGCTATGGTTGCATACCCTTTGACAAACCGTCTGTAATAGCCTGTGAAGCCTAAGAAACCTCTCAATTATTTCATTGTGGTGGGTTTGGGCCAATTTTTAATAGCTTCTAACTTAGAGGTTTCCATAGCAACCCCATGGCCTAACAAGGTATGACCTAAGTAATCAATTTCCTTCACACCAAAGGAACATTTTGAAAGTCTAACGTATAAGTGTTGCTGCTGTAAAATTCCCAAAACCAGCTCCAAATGATATAACTGATCATTCCATGTGGCACTAAAGACCAAAATATCATCAAAAAAAACCAACACAAATTTTCTTAAGTATTCCTTAAAGATCTCATTCATTAAACTCTAGAAAGATGCAGGAGCATTAGTTAACCCAAATGGCATTACAAGTCATTCATAGTGTCCATGGTGGGTTCTAAATATCATTTTATGTCTATCTTCTGGTTTCAACAAGATTTGGTGATAGCAAGATCTTAAATCTAGCTTAGAAAAGAAAGTGGCTCCAAATAACTCATCTATAAGTTCATCAATAATTGGAATAGGAAAGGTATCTTTAATGGTGATAGCATTAAGAGCTCTATAGTCAGTACATACCCTCCATGATCCATCCTTCTTCTTGACCAAAATTTGGAGAAGAAAAAGGGCTTTTGTTGGGTTGTATTATGCCTTCATCAAGCATGCCTTGCACCAGTTTTTCAATTTCTGCTTTTTGACTATGAGGGTACCGATAAGGCTTAACTTTGAAAGGGATCCTTCAATCAAGGGAATGGAATGACCATGAAAACGTTGTGGTGGTAACGATGTTGGTGTCTCAAAAATCGAGCAGTAATAATGTAACAACAAGGCCAACAAGGCCAATTCTGGTTCAATATCAGCGGATAATTCCTGAAGTGGAAAATGATACAAACTCTCTTCACAACTGCATACTGAACACCTCTGCAATTGAATCAGTGTTTATCATTCTTCTTATGTGATGCAGATGTGCCTGTGTAGGTGAACAATCGCTTTCTCCCTAATTTACCTTCATATAAGAACTTCAGCTGCAGCAACTCATAATCAGTGATGTGAGAGCCTATTATTTTTAACCAATTGGCTCCCAATATCAAATCAGCTCCTGAAATTGGTAACAAAAAAATTGGTAATTCAAATTTAGCCCCTTGAACTTGAATATTGAGTTCTTTAATCATTCCTTCTGCAATCATGTAATTTCCATTCCCCACCATGACTTTAAACAGTGGTGTTGTTTCTATAGGCAATTTAAGAAACTTAGCAATCCTTGGCTATAAAAAATTATCAGAGCTACCTCCATCCACTAATATTGTAACTGGCAAAGTATTACTATGAGCAATAAAACGAATAGTACCAACCCCTACGTTGCCCTTCATAACATTTAAAGACAAGTGATGATTATCTTCTAATGTTACATCAGTCTGTGTAGGCGTGCTTGAAATCACAGTGTTAGCAACATGATCAACTTCTTAACTCTCTTCTTCACTTTGTAACATCAGCAATTGCCTATTGGGACATTTGTGATTAAAAGTAAATTTCTCATCACAAAAGTAATATAAAACTTTTTCTCTCCTCAATTGCATCTCAGCCGGTGTAATTCTCTTCACATTTACATTTCTGGTTGGAGGAATGGAAGGTGTAGGTAGCAGCGGTGGTAAGGACTGCTTAGGAGTAATTTTTGTTGGGCTAGCATTGATACTGCTAGATGACAGAGAAGAATATTTGTGATTATAATTAGTAGCACGTTGTTGAACGAGAGGTGTATACTTGTCTTCATATAATTTCGCCAAGGCCACTGCTCGAAGCAAATTCATGGGACACTGGGCTACCACATCCCTTCTAATCTCACGATTCAACCTACTTAAAAAACAATGCAAAATAGCATCATCGCTAAGACCTTCAGAACGGTTTGCCAGTGCCATAAACTTCAAATAATAATTCGAAACAGTTCCTGATTGTTGGAGCTTGAAAAAGTCTGCCATAGGAGAATCAAAAGGAGAAGGTCTAAAATGACTTTCCAGAGCTCTTCTCAAATCTGACCACGTCTGTACAGCTGACATACGGTGCAACATTTGGAACCACAGAATAACATCCTTCTCAAAGTGAATTGAAGCTATATCCACTTGTTCATTGTCAGGAGTTCTATGATAATTGAAAAATTTTTCTGCCTTGAAAATTCATTCTAACACAGGGGATGTACCATCAAAGTGAGGAAAACCCAGCGAAATCTCCCGTGCTGGTCGTGCAGAGCTACAAGGTTTCATCACTAGCGGTGAGTCGGTTGAGTTCGAAGCATCAATGTGCGGAGTCTGACCTTGATTGAGCATATCCAACGATTTATGCATCTGTTCTATTCGGTCATTGTTAGCGGTTTGAAATTGAATGATTAAATCACGATTTTCCTTATCCCTTTCTGGTTGTTTCTCAATCCAGCCCAAAATCGAAGTAAGTTGGGCTTGCATATCTTTCATCCATGTGTTCTCTGCCATTGACGTCAATGAAAGCACCAATGTAACACGTAAAATCAATGTAACAATAAAATATCATATGAAACAGTGAAAACCCAATGGAACAGTGAAATGGAATTGTCGTAATTGCCAATAGAATTTGGAACGATTGAGTTTGGTTTACAAGGAATTAAAATTGGAAATCATAACGAAACTAAAACGTAATTGAATTCTAGACGTCCAATGCGGATACCTGAAGACAGGAATGATGAGATGAGTAACAGAGTTTGTTTTAGAAACAGATAAGGAATGAGTAGAGAATGAGCAGAAACAATTAGCAGAAAGGATTGCATACCAGTCACGTGCCTCTCTCATTGAATGAATTCCTTTAAATACATATTTTTCTTCCATTCACGTGTGCTTCTCCTTAATGCCTTATCATGCGGATCCATTTCCACTTGGCCCCTTCCTTCCACTATATTTTCTGTTATTTTCTTCTTCTTTTTTTGTAGCACTATTCTCTTCTAAAACAATCACATTCAGAGAAAATCAGGTATAATATGAAGTATCTGAATATGATTATCCAAATCCTTCTTAGCTACTGCTTATCTATGCTTTCCTCTTGCCCAAATTCTGCATGCTTCATGCTCCAAGCATTCAGTTCTGAAATCACTACACTCTGCCTTCCATTATTGAATACGTAAAGATGAGCATCTTTGTCAATTGCAAGTGAGGGATAAACTCTACTGGTAATACAAATTCTCCCTTTCTCCCCAAAACTCTCGACAATGGAGCGATCAATCTGCATAATATGAATCTATATATATATATATATATATCAAACTGGCAAACACATGATGAAATAAAAAGGGTAATAATCATTATTAGCAATAAACATACCAAGCTTCTCAGTGATATGGTTTTTTGATTGGGGTCTATGTCAAAGATAGTTCCATATGTGGTTTTATCAAGGTCCTGCCGCAATGAAGACCTGTGAGGTGTACGTAACTCTCAATCACTAGTTGAGTTTACTCTTGATGAAAAAGTAAAATATATGCACCACAAGTTATAGATTAAATTGAGAAAATTATATCAGAAATAACCTGCTCTGGTCACTGCTCATGAAACATAAATATCTGTTGGAAGTTTTATATATTCTGAAGAAGATTGCAGTCTGTTCTGTTTGGTCCTCAGATGCTAAAGCTAATAAACCAAATGGCCCTATTATGCCACTTCTTGATACATATTCTTTACTACACAGCAAGTGTGGATCAACTTCACTTTCATCTAGCCACTCTGCATTCTCTAGTTCCGGAAGCTCAAACAATACTTCCACATCAGCCTTGAAAAGTGAAGTTTTAAACAATCATCACTGATGTTGTGCATGGTTTCAAATACAAAAAATTAGAATGTGAGAAAATACAGCACAAGTTTACTTACCTGTGATGCAGTGATACCTGAAATTTCAAGAACTGATCCACCAAACAGTTTCTCTCCAGTTATGCTAATTTGTTTATCATGTAGTTTTTCTACCTCTTCAATTGGCCATTGCATCAACCGGTTCCCACTTTCATCAAACCAAACTTCCCTTGGAATACACTACATAGTACATAGTAGGAACACTCATCGACATGATATTAATTTATAACACTAAAGCAATTTTAACCATAAGAAAAAGCCTAACATGGAGCTAAAATAAAACCTGAAGACCAGCCCATCCTTTTTCAATGTCATCATCTTTAGTGTCACACTCGTTCACCCACCCCCATAATATCCTTCTCTTCTTATCATGGTCAAAAAATGACTTTGAGGCATAAAATTTACCATAGTCAAACCTTAAGTCCACACTAGTTCCTTTGAATTTAACATCAGGAATAAAGTTTCCTTCATCATAGGCGTATTTACCAAGAAAATAATAATCCTGATGTCTGCGTAGATAGCTTATCTTCAAGACATGTCTAACACTTTGATTTTGGACAGATGTATCCACCCCATTTTTGCTATTGATGGACACAGGAAAAAAATCTGGACACTCACAAACTCCAGTATTATCTGACGCAAAAAAAGGATTCAATTCCACAGTCCAATTAGCAAAATCCTCACTTTGGTAAAGAACCGCCTTCCCTTCATCACCATTTTGAGCACCAATGACTACCCTCCATTTTCCATCCTTTCCCTGCCAAGCAGTTGAAGGGTCTCTGAAATTATTAACTTCAACTCCACTTGGTGGAGTCATGACAGGGTTTTGAGGGTGTTTCACCCATTCCCTTAAGAAGGGATCTGATAGATTCTTTGGCATAGCTATGTTCTGAACTTGGTGTTTTTTATCATCAATTCCTGTGTATAAAATAACAGGTTGTTCTTTTCCTGGGATTATAGTGGCTGAGCCTGACCAACAACTGCTAATGTCAAAGGGCTCACTCGGCTTAATGGCATGATTCAGATGAATCCAGTTGATGAGATCATAGGACAGAGTGAGCCCACACCATTTTCTCACCGAAGGTTGCTGCATCAGGATTGTGTTGGTAGAAAAAGTGATAAACTCCTTTGTAGTACATTGGTGCTGCCACATGTATATCAACACTTGTCATATGGTCAAAATCACTTTTGGATGTTATTGAATTAAAAGTTGAAACGTAGAGGATTAGGACATATTTTTTTTCTCACTATACAAAACAGATTGATTGGATAAACGTTTTGTAACTACTTTCAGGTAAAGAGATGAGAACATAAAATGCTTTGAACTCTTACCATATAATTAAATTAACTTATACAACAAACTTTTGAAGAGGTTAAATAAGAAGAATTTCTATAAAAGTTAAGTGCATAAATATTGATTTTAGGTTATCTAAGAAGTTCAATCACTTTAACTTTTTCTTTTATGTATTTATAGAAAAATTTATCTAAACATGACTATGATGTTGCTTCCGGTAAAAAGTAAAATTATAAGTAACAGATGTTGAGTCGAATAGCAGGCAAATAAGTAACTTAATGTGAGAAATTCATGAGCATACCATTTGGATCTGCATAATGAAGTCAACCATGTCCAGTTTTTGTCAACAAAACATGTCAGAAGACAAAGAGAACAGAATTAGACATGAGCACTGAAATATACACAAGCATGTGTTAAAATCCAATTGACAAAGCAGTGCTGAGGGTAATCATACCATTCATCCAATATTGTGGGGGTTGAAAGTGGTACCAAGTTCTATAAGGCTGATTCTCAGGTACCTTGTACAAGGTAGAATTAAAGCTGTGTGAAGATGCAACCTCTTTATTGATCTCCATGATGATAGAGGAAACAAATACAAGACTGTGAGAACCTTGGTTTGATGAAGGGCTAATATATGCAATTATGCACACACTGGAACATTCAGTATGTGGATAAAAGCTCAAAAGATGTAAAATGAGTCGTGCAGACAAATCCATAACCTTTCAGAATTTAAATATACATCAATTTTGAGAATATTGCAACTGAGATTATTTTTATTGATGAATTGACTTTTATGGTCTATGCAAATTGGTTAAATTTTATTTGGTAAATTACATATTATATATCACTAAAACGCATATGTCAGACTCACAATTGAAAAGGAATCAACGTAGAGTTCTGTTTGGCCTTGCTGACTACACCTTTGGGATTAAAGTATTATTGCGATCTGATGAGTAGAAGAAACGGAGAAAAAAACAAGACTAAGAAACACTAAGATATTATGAAAGAAAACACTCATAATTGAAATGTTCAAAGATGATATATTATTAATTTAATTAATGAATAGAAGAAAACAGCAGGTAAATGTGAATGCGTGGAAAAAAAAAACATCATTTTAACATTGGTAAATATTTTAAAAGAGATGTTCACAAAAAAATAGAGGTTTGTAAGAAACAAATAGAAATTTTTATGAAAGAAAAAAAAAACTGAACTAGATGGAGGAAAGAAAATGTTTGCTTAGATCCTATATTTCTAAAAAGTTCAGTTACTTAGGAATCATTTCATGCAAATAATATGATAGGATAGACACATAATAAGATGTTGAAATTGTTGAAATTTCACCTAAAATGTTGGTTAGCTATAAAAACATGTATGCTTTATGGTCACTAATAAAGAAATTCCTTATGACATTTTGGATAAAATGACTCTCAAGAAACTAGTACAATCATTATTAAAATTTTGATCATTATAAGAAATATTAACTTGACAGTAGAGAGTGATGTTGATGTTAAGATATATATATATAAACATATATATTTAATTTATAATTAATTTTCTAAATATATATTTGATATTATTAATTACCTAATTAGTTTTCTAATATTACAATTTGTATATTATATTTATTCGAAGTTAGATTAATTAAAAAAATATTCTTTTAGTTCATTCTTCTAATAATTTTTCGAATGGAATCCTTACATCAACATGTGTTAACAAAATAATTTTTTTAATATATACTTTATTTACTATTAATTGAAATGAATAAAGAGATTGTAAAAATATGAAAAAGACGCGTTAGTTAATAGAATATAAATTTCTATGAGGCAAGTTGTTCCATAAAATATTTTGAAATCAAATATAAAACAAATATTTTGTTAGCAAAATAACATGGCGCCACTCTGGATTGTAATTTCCCACTTTGCAACTGGACACAACATATATTTGATGGCCTCGTTGGTTTTTGTCGGAAGAATTAGCCAAGAGAAATTATTTCTTAGAAAGACTTCGACTTTAAATCCTTTTAAAATTTTCAATTGGAACTTATGGTTCTCTTAGGTCTCTGATTAGGTCATCTTTCATGTGAAAGTAGATGAAATCAACTATGAAATATTTGTTTAAGAAGACTTTCACTGTATACCCACACAACATATAGATCATGACATTTCCCCATTCACATGCAAGCCAATTGTGATCTGTCATTGTTTATGTTATAAAATATGCAAGCCGAATATTTTTACAGTTTTTAAGTGTTTAATTTTTTTTAACTAAATTTTTGTCATTTTTTTCTAATAGTTTCAACTATTTCTTGTACGTTACCATTTTTTTTATCAGTTATACCCTTTGGGGGTAAAAAAAACAGTCTCTTTAATTAAAAAATATATATATATATATATATAATTTATGAAAGTTAATAAAATATGATTTTAATCCTTAAACACTAAATTTAAAGGATAAAAATCAATTTTAAAAAACTTAATTTTTTCTTTTTAAATGTTAAGTATTATGATTAATTCAAGAACTAAACCAAAAAAATATAAAAAGAGGTGTATCAAGACAAGCACAATCAATAGTGTATTGATATTTTGGCTTATCAACGTTTTTTTAATTTTTATTTATATTTATGATTTTGACCCAAAGCATATCATTAAATATATTTGATTATATATTTATAATTTTATTTTTTTATTTTTTTATCTTTTCATATTTATTTATTATTTATTAATAATATATTATTTCAATCTCCAAACGATAAAAAGTAAATATTCGTCGGTACTAATATTAGTACATGAAATAAACTGTTTGAAATGTGCCTTTAAAAAGCTGTTAATAGAATTTTCTGTAGTTTGAATAAGTTATCTTAGTAAAAGTAGTAGTAGTTGAATATTAGGAGAGTTGTTCCTAAAGTTTAAGACAAATTATTTCTGTTTTATCTTTTATTTTCTTTATATTGGCAGTTGACTAAAATATTTCCTTCAAATTGTTTCTCTAAATATATTTTTATCTATTTGTCTTCTTCCTTCAGTTTTTTATTCCCTGTTTGGTACTGACTGACTTTATTTTTAAAATAACAAAAACACATGTTAAACTTTGTAAGAGTTTTGTTCTCGTTTTATTTTGTGTGGGTTCATGGTAGGAACAAAGCAACTATGAGAGACAGACACATATCTAACATAAAAAACTTGTGTAAATGGTTGGGCCACACTTTTCACTCAGTGTGTTAGGCATGGTATCATCATTTCACTCATTTGCTGTGAAATTAACGTGGCTGATTTTCACATGCCAAACTCTTCTTATAAAGTTTCAGCAGTGAGTTGTTCCTGTCCTGTCTGATATGAGTTTACTAGAAATCTGATAAGGAGAGGCCTTTAGCTTTATGGCCAACAAAGGAGAGAAATCCAAGCTAGGTACAATCATATCAAGTTCTTTTCAATTTGGAGGTTGAGTCAGCCTTTGAGTGCTTAAAGTAATTTGTAATAAGAGTTTAATTTTTTTCTTTTCATCTTCAAGATTACACTCTCAACCAATTAAAAATAACTTAAACATGACTTTGATCAATTATTCCAAAAGGTAAGCAATTTTATATGACATATGATTGATTTATTTCCATATTGTGAAATTCAAGATTCTTTTGAATGCTTAACTGGTCACACAGATAATATCAGGTTAGAATATATCCCAAGCTGATTGATGTGTATTTAAAACCTGATTGGCTTTGGATTTGTCTCTTTCCACAAACTGACAGATGCACTGTGAATAGAATAGTCATTTTCTTGTGCATATATAAATCCCTTTTTCAAACTAAGACTCAGTTAGGCTTTCTTGCTCTTTTCACATTCTCCTTCTCCCTCGTGCTTGCATCATGAAGATCATTGCAGAACTATTATTATTTGTTGTAGTTCCTTTTCTTCTGAACAGTGGAAATGGAATTGAAACATCCACCACACATAGCATCAATTATAGAGCACCTGCAAAGCAACCTTATAGAACTTCTTTTCACTTTCAGCCCCAAGAGAATTGGATGAACGGTATTGTTATCCCCTCAAAGTTTTGTGGATCCAATTTTACTATGTTAACATTAACACCAGTTTTTATCTGTTCAGTTCTGTTTCTTTTGTTAAACCGTTGAAAAGCCTAATACTTCTCTTTTATCATTTGACATGATTTTGCTGACGATAATTGGACATGGATGACTTCACTTTGCAGATCCAAATGGTAAGCACTTGAATTTTTTAGGACTATCTGTTATTTATCCACCTCCCCTGAACATCATCCACATGAGAAAATGGAAGCTGTCGTGTTCTTTTCTGTTCCTTGTGAAATTTGATCAAATTGTTCTTTCACTTCTTAAAAATTTGTTTAAATAAACTTCTCGATAAGAATTGACGGATCAAAAATAAGAAGAAAAAATTATATGAGTGTTTTTCTTCATAAATTAAAATCAACTTATCCATTTAACTTCTATAGAAGTTTCCTCTTAAATTTTTCCAAAGCTAAGGTGCATGATGAGCTGATTTTAACTTATGGAAGAAATTCGATTAGTTTTCTATTCAAACAGAGACGGAAGAATTCATTATTTGTTACTCCAAACTTTAAAAGATGACTGGTGTTAATGTTGATTTAATCTCTCAGGGCCTATGTACTACAAAGGTGTTTACCACCTTTTCTACCAGCATAACCCTGAAGCAGCAACCTTCGGTGATAGGATTGTATGGGGTCATTCAGTATCCTATGATCTCATCAATTGGATTCATCTGAATAATGCTATTGAACCAAGTGGGCCATATGATATTAATAGCTGCTGGTCAGGCTCAGCCACTATAATCCCAGGGAAGGAACAACCTATGATCTTGTACACAGGAATTGATGATAAGAAACATCAAGTTCAGAACTTAGCTATACCACGGAATCTATCTGACCCCTTCTTAAGGGAATGGGTGAAACACTCTCAGAATCCTGTCATGACTCCACCAAGTGGTGTTGAAGTTGATAATTTCAGAGACCCTTCAACTGCTTGGCAGGGAAGGGATGGGAAATGGAGGGTAGTCATTGGTGCTCAAAATGGTGATGAAGGGAAGACAATTCTCTACAAAAGTGAGGATTTTGTTAATTGGACAGTGGATCCTAATCCCTTTTATGCATCACATAATACAGGAGTTTGTGAGTGTCCAGACTTCTTTCCTGTGTACATCAATGGCAGTAAAAATGGGGTGGATACATCTGTGCAAAATCCAAGTGTTAGACATGTCTTGAAGATAAGCTACCTACGAAAGCTGCATGATTACTATTTTCTTGGTAAATATATTTCTGATCAGGAAAACTTTATTCCTGATGTTAGGTTTACAGGAAATAGTTCAGACTTGAGGTTTGACTATGGTAAATTCTATGCTTCCAAGTCATTTTTTGACTATACCAAAAACAGGAGGATATTGTGGGGATGGGTGAACGAGTCTGACTCCGCACAAGATGACATTGAGAAAGGATGGGCTGGTCTACAGGTATTTTAGTTATTTCAGCTGCCTTGTTATTTCCATTTTCAAATGAATCATATCTCATAAGTTCTAGCTCTTTAACAAATGTTACTATAATGCATTTTTTATCATGCTATTTGTTAACATTTTCTGACAAAATTTATTAGAAGTCACAAAAATTTGTTAGTTTTACTTCTTGAGGTTTTGGCTTTGTAGTCAATTCCAAGGCAAGTTTGGCTTGATAAAAGTGGGAAGCAATTGGTTCAGTGGCCACTTGAAGAGGTAGAACAACTACGTAGTAAGCACATAAGAATAACGGGGAAGAACCTCGTCCATGGATCAAATCTTGAAGTCTCGGGTATCACTGCATCACAGGTAAGTAAATTGATATATTTTCTTTGATACATTTCAGATCAAGTAGATCAATGGTTAGGTGTTTCAAATTTGAACTTTTGAAGGCCGATGTTGAAGTGTTGTTTGAGCTACCTGAACTGGAAAAGGCTGAGTTTCTTGATCCAAATGGAGTTGATCCCCAACTACTTTGTAGCCAAGAACATGCTTCAAGAAGTGGCACAGTAGGGCCATTTGGTTTGTTAGCTTTGGCTTCAAAGGATCTCAATGAGCACACTGCAGTCTTCTTCAGAATATATAGAGCACCCAATAGATATGTATGCCTCATGTGCAGTGACCAAAGCAGGTTGCTTCTGAATTCTAACATCCCCTCAACATATTTTTTTGTTCATATATTTGTCTTTTATTTTGTAGTGAACCTCTCCATGTAATTTGTGATTGATACAGAGATTTTTGCCTACACTTTACAGGTCCTCATTGAGGCATATCCTTGACAAAACTACATATGGAACTATCTTTGACATAGATCCCAGTCGAAAAGAGATTTCACTAAGAAGTTTGGTACGTCTAATTCTAGCAAGTACACTCACTCTTCCTTGTTTTATGATATGCTTGGTAGTTTGATGTATTCTTATCATGCAGATTGACCACTCCATTATTGAGAGTTTTGGGGATGAAGGGAGAGTTTGTATCACCAGCAGAGTTTATCCATTATTGGCTACAGACAAAGATGCTCATCTTTATGTATTTAACTATGGAAGCCAGAGTGTGGTGGTCTCAAACCTGAACGCTTGGAGCATGAAGCAAGCAGAGATTGGCTATGAGGGAAACATTAGCTATACCTAAGAAGGATCAAGAGATTTTTGATATTTTTGTATGTGTCTTAATATGGTTTTTCCCTCTATGATTGATAGATATTGAGGGTATAAGTATGTTGTCTATTGTTATTTTAGAACGAATGATAATGTTTCTGCATATCAATGAATTGAACCAATAAACATACGACAAAAACATTCATACAGAAAGAGCAAATGAAATGTAATCAAAACTCAATCAAATAAAATGCAGATATCAGATGTAATTGTCAATTAGTTACATATTCTTGGAAAAAAATTTACTGCAAAATTTTCTTGTTAATGGACGAAGTAATATCAAGTGAATGTCCAAATTTGTTTTAGCGGTCTGGATTGGTTCATATTTAAAAGGAAAAATTAAATTTATTAGAATAATTTTTGTCATGTGCTCTCGTAAATACAAGTCAATTTATATTTAAATATATTAGTAATATTAATTTTTATAAACTAATTATAAAATTATTATTAAATTATAAGTTCAAGTTTTACTTGATCTGATGCCAAAGTAAGCATGCATGTGAAAGACTACCATTAACCTTCTATAGGATTTTGGATGAGAGGGGAACTATTGCCTTTGCCAGAGTTCAGATTAGGAGACATAAGAATGTTGTTCTCTTTTTCCAAAGGAGAATTTAAGGCTGTTAAGCTCTAACATCAAAGGTCTTGAGCATAAACATTATGAACTGTAAGTCCCATCTTTATTTTTTCTCCCAAACTTTTATGTCTCTGTATTTTGTGTTATCAACCAAGATGTTCACCACACCAAACTCTTGCAATTGCATTCAAGCCCATGTAATTAATACACTCAACATTATAACTGTTTGCAACCATAAGCATAGACAAGAAAGAGCTCACAACTATTGCCTCAAACAGAAGTAAGAAAGTACTCTTGTTTTGGTTTCAATTCATAAGAATAAAAGACACCAATATGAAATTCGCACCACTTTTTATATGGTCACCAAAACCCTTTTCTCCAGTCTATCAAGGAAGTTCACCATGATGAAAGAGGACATTCATAAAAAAAATAAAAAAAAACAGAGTAATAAAACATAAACTCCATCCATATAAGAATTGAAATTAATTTTAACTCAAAACTCAAAATCTTAAGACATTATATTATAGATCATATTTTTTTTATATATTGTTTAACTTATCTATTCTTATTTAATGTGAGACTTAATGGAAGTATAAATTAATATAAAAGCATTAATATAAGTATAAATAAAGGGAAAAAATACTTATATAACAAAAAAATATAAGATTAAATATTATCTAAAAAAATGATTGTGTATTTTAAAAAATAAAAGCTAAAATATATTCAAAGAATTAAAATCTTTGTTTCTATTTTTATTGTATTGATATAATATTTTATATATTTAACATATTTAAAAAAATATTTAATATTTATATAATTAATATATATATATATACATATATTAATATTATATAAATATGATTGTTTTGCGTGTATATATAATATAATATAAACTTAAATAAATTGTTAGGGCTTGTTTGTATATTTTTTTCATTTTTTTATTTTTCAAAAATTAAAAATTTTGTTGGATAACAATTTTATTAAATGTGTTTTCAAAAATATTTTTGTTTTTTTTAGTTTTTAATTAAAAACTAACTTGTTGAAAATGTATCAACCCAAAACTATACATAACCGCGTATATAAAATTAAGAGTCACGTAGTAATTCAAAATATAAATTTTTCTCGCATAGGAAAATATATACATACATATCTATCATTTCAAAAGTAAACAAAATATAATTTATACTACTCTTACTGAGGTCTATCACCTATAAAAATTGTCTTTATGTAAACACATGATCATCACAATTAAAACACATACAAAATACACAGGATAAGTTATTAATTCAATTTAAGCATACAAGATTCAAATGTGAAATAAAATAACATAATTTAACTTTAAGTTTTCATATATCACATCGCATGCCCTTACAAACTCGCATTATAAGATATTGAAATAGATATCAGGGATTTGCACCTATCACACCACAGCTCCCCTAAGTGCATAATACAAAGGTGCTCAAGACACATTTCTAAATAACTTATCAAGACACAATTATTTTTTACACCACATGCTAAGTTATTAGAAACATGAGTGACTAAGGTAAATTTTTAAATGAGTTATCAAGACAGATCTTTTTTTACACTGCAGACTAAGTCATTAGAAAACTCTTTTAACTCTCACCACCTGATCATTTCATCTATGTGATTCCAGTGATAAGTAGAGTTAGGATATCTCCTCGAATCTCAAATTAATATCTATACATACAACACTACACATATGAGAATACCCCTTAGTAATTATCATATCACAACACCACACATTTTCAAGGCATATAATAGCATGCAAGTGCTTTCAACACTGTCTTAAATTTGCTGAGCGAATTTAAATCTGCTGGGCGAATTCATGACAGTAACAAACCGCATAATCTGTTCAATACCATATTTCTAATGTTTCAAATCAAATTAATTATAAACCTTACCCTCTTGGTTATAAATTAATTCACTAAATTTAATCTAAGAACAATACATTCATATAAAAGACTATCTTTTCAATCTCATATCAATGAATTATACATTCACATTCAATACTATCATCACAAATCAACACATACATAATCACATCATCCAAATTCCTAAAACTCAAACTCAAAGTCATCTTCACAATTCAGATCTTTTAGCCTAAAGTATTATGAAAATTGAAGGATAACTAACTTTCCTTAGCTCAAACACAGTGTCTTCAAGTTAAAGAACCTCAAAAACTCCTAATTGTCAGGAAGATAGATCCTGTTCACAAAAAACTCAAATTAACAAATTGAGCATATATCACAATGTTTCTAAATTATTCAAGATTCATCTTTTCACACCAAAGTCTACATGCAAGGCCCCCGAGACCCACATGCAAACCTAAGCCCGAAATATGTCAAAATAGTCTAAAATTAGGAAAGTAGAAATTTACTCTATTCAAAATTCTGATCAAATAGAAATTATGTGTTCTCTTCCACGAGCACTAAAGTGTGCTTGAATCTAAGAAAAGATGGGAGATTGAACAAGATATTTAAAGAAAAGACACAAAAAAGATAATTGTAAAAAGATTGTGATTTTGTAAGAATGAAGTTTGAAATTTTAAAATTTTCTATTTATAATTCTTATTATCTTAAGCAAGTAAAACTTTAAATTTACTCTTATTATATCACTTCTATTATTAACTTAATTAAACTCGATCCTCACAGAAAATGTATTTTTTATCTTAATTTTTTATTTTTAATGATATTTACAATTTCACTAATTAATGTATTTCATCATACATCAAATTATAAAAAAAATATAAATTTTCATAATAATCAAGTTTCATTTGTTTAAAACAATTTCAAACAAGAATTACTAAATAACTTGTTTTCTAACTTATTTCAAAAATATTTTTTTAAAATTAATATCTAAAACCATTTTGAAAAATTAAATAACAAAATAATTCAACAGATTTTTATAATATAGGAATTTTTTTATTTTTTTTATGTATTCCTTATTGTATAATTTTTTTATAATATTATTTTATATAATGGAAAATTCTTATAATAGTTCTTTAATAATAAAAAATCCCATGTTATATAGGTCTTATAAATATGGGTTATGTAAAGTAGAAAAAATTATAAATATAATTTAAATTTTATATTAAAATAATACTTTTTGAAAAAAAAACATGAAAAATCACAACTGTGATGTGAAACTAAACAGTTGCTAGTGACTTAATGATTTTTTTCACACAAAAAAAAACTTTACATTTTCTTTAGATATGTTTTTTTTTTTTTTTGCTTTATATGTTTTAAGAAGGGGTGAGAGAGCAAAGGCAAAATCTAAGTGAAGCATTAAGGAACTTGTGATGTTATGATGAGAAAAAGAGTCGGTGTGACTTAATTAAGATGCCTGATTGTGTTTATTTATTTACTATAATAGAATATAAAAATGTGGAATTGTTGTATGGGGGAGGAGATTCTTCTGACGTTAGGTTGAAAGATTCTAAAAGGACCCACAAGTGTTGTTAATGAATGGCATGGCATGCATTAGAGGTGTGATTTATGCATTAAAGAAAGCCTTAAATTTGGGACAAGGGAATGAAACCCCCACTAACTCACTCTACCGTTCTTTTCTTTCCTTTCTCTTTGGATTGTGGCCATAGTTGGAGATGAAGTGCTTCATGTCGTTGATGTCGTCACAATGCCGTCTTTTCCCAACCTAAAGGGGAAAAACTAATAGGGTCCCACTAGGTGGGAAGTGGAATTAGAACCCTTCTTGCTCATGCCCTTAATTATCACCTCTAACCCTTCCCTCATCCCCATAATGGGAAAACATCCTTTCCACCCCACCCCATCATCCTTCTAAAACTTTCATACACGATGCAGTGAATATTGTAAGAGTTTATTTAATAGTTAAAAAATATGTTAGACTTTTAACTTTTTTATGCTCTTTATCTTTAGTGAGGTTTGTACCAATAATTTAGAAAACATATCATTATAAGAAAAAATTATATTATCTACCATCTAAATTCGTAATATTATAAAAAATTTAATATTTTTTACGGATTTTCAACAGATAAAATTCGTAAATAAAATCGTATAGTTAAGTATAGATTTTTAAATTTGTAAGTAATTTTATACCATATTATTATATTAACAGGTAATAATCTTATAAATATATGTGATTCTAAACTTATTAATGCAAATATATAATAAATTATTCGCTTTGTAGTACTTTTGGGTGCAACATACACATACTCATATATGATTAACAAATATATATATAGAAAGTGTCAAGTCCCTTGGCTGTATTCCAGCTTCTAAGATGCTTTGGCTATCAATAAATCAGCACTAAACTAAAGTGCTTTTTGTTTATTGTACTGTGTACACAGGAGAAAAGCAATGGCACTGCAACTTGGTCCAAACCTTTTTGATTTTGTTTCTATTTGAGGTTCATGGGCTTGGTTCAAAGGGCAACATTGAATTGAAAGTTGATATTTTTGATTCTTTGGCTGATGGTGATCATGTGGGTGATACCCTTTAGACTATTGAATTGAGACCTTGGCTGAGGTTTCATGGGGATGCAGTCATGCATGCCATCACACACACCACCCATCAATGCTGCTGTCTCTTGGCATGATGACAGTAATTCAAGTTTGTCCTTGCACCCTGTTTTGGCTTTGAATCTATCTGGGCTTTTTACCTTTTGTGAATTCTAGATTCAACAACAATTATTATAAAAATATCTCCAACAGTGCCCCCACGCAAACCAATCTTTATTTTTTCCACACCTTGCATTTCAAGGTTAACAAATCCAAGGAAAGGAAGATAATTTTTTATAATAGGTTTATGGTTACACCACCTTGGCGTGGGGCTTTGGTAAAAGTAAAAAAATTTAATAAGGTCACTATCTATAAATATACATCAATTAAATTTAAAAGGAAAAAAGCATTTTATACCAATCTAGTCAAAGAAAGGAGGAAGAATATGAAGCAGGACTTGGGTTGCAGCTCCATCTCCTTTTATGCAAATGATTCTTCTATGTTATCATAATTAACTCATGAGTAAAGGAGTTGTTTAATTCCTTTTTAGAGGACAGTATTTATTTCACAACCATGGGGATTTGATTCTATGATGCTCACCAAAGTGTCAAGGAAAATGAAAAAAAAAATTATATATATATATATATATATAAAAAAAAAGACGTGTTGGATTTAAACTATGTATATTTGCTTCGCAATAATTGGAGGTGTTTGTCTCTTGATAAAAATTCCTCTTTCGTAACCTTCTTCGTTCATCATCATCAGCTCTTTCAAAGTACTTTGTGAACTTTCTTTCTCCCCTTAACGGCTTAACCCCCACGGGGGACAACAAGTCAAGAAGAACCCTAAAAAAAATCCTCTTTTGGACGGCCATGATTGTGCCCACATTAAAATTCTTTTGGAGACCAAAGAAACTAAGTCTGGACAGTAATTACCAATGAAATATTAATTAATTTTTTATTGATAATAGATAAGGCATGAAAAAAAAAATTATCAGATAAGGGTGAGTTATGAATAAGATGAATGAAAAAAAAAAAAATTGACAAAACAGTGGCCTCTGATTGCATGATGATAATTGAGAAAAAGAGGAACCCGTGATGATTTATAATCGATAAATGAACCCACTCTGAGTTGTGGTAACAGAAGAAGAAGAACCACACCCCTTGTCGCTCTCACCACTCAACACAGATGCTCTGTCCCAACACGTGTCACTCCTACACAACGATTACCTTCCATCCCAACCATACTCGCAGATCTATTCCCACATCTAAAATTTCCCCACGACCATCGAACTCTCTTTCCATAAAGTTTTTTTCTATCAAGCAAAATTCCAAAAAAGTCATTCTTTTCATCAGCGATGTTAAACCATGCAATCAAAAATTGAATGTCCAACCTTTATATTAGAACCAAAAACATCTTGAGTTTACAGAAAACTCAAAAAGAAATGTAAACTGGCTACAGAAAAGAAAAAGGGAAGAAGGTGAATTGGAGAGATTTCATTTAACATAGAGAGGAGGACTAAAAATTATACAATTAGTTAATTTTTTTCTTTTTTATAGAGGTAAATGATAATAATAATAATTTATATATTTATATATATGGTGGAGATGCTGAAGAATATATTATTGGGGGTGATGGATGGTGGTGATGGTCATACCCAGAGGGCGCCTACTTGGACGAGCTTGGGGACAAGGTGACCGCTGACATGGAGGGCAACCAGGGACTCCAGTCCGCCGACAGAGGCACCGCCGATGAAGACGGCGGGGGTGCGGGTGGTGTCGGGGAGGGCGGGTATCTCATGGTCATCCAATTCGATGACAGTGGGGTTCACGCCGATGGTGGCGAGGAGCTTCTTCATGACGTGGCACATGCAGCAGGAAGAGCGAGTGAAGATGATCACCGGGTGTTCCGATATGAGCCGCTGGATGCGTGCTTCTGTTGACTCCTCCACATCGATGGAGAGTGACGAAGATGATGACGATGAGGTGGTGGAGGAGTTGGTTGCGGCGGATGTTGGAGCAGTGAGGTCGAGGTGTACGACATCGTTTGAGCAGCGGCGTAGGCCTTGCATAGTGTGAAAGCGAGGAGTGAGAGACTGAAAGTGAATGAAATGAAATGAGAGGCTGAAGTGGTGGAGTTTTTATTTATATTAATAATAAAAACTAATTAATTAATTAAAAAAAATTGCTTTGTGGTTGCTTACATCACTATATTTATGTGATACTATTGTATTGCATTGTTGGTTTCTTTTTCTCTTCTTTTCTTTTTATTATTTTCTTTGTTTTGTTTGTGGCTTGAACCCTACTTTTCTTCCCTTACCCTTCCTTGCTTGCATGCTTTCCCCCCACTCGCCATTCTCATTTTTATCTCTCTTCCTCTTATTTGTTGTATAAAATTTTGTTGTCCCCACTTGGACCATCCAAATTAAAATCATCTTTTCATATGTTTTTAGTTTGGTTTTAATTTTTGTATCTGAAAAGTGCAATTATCTCTTTTAATTTATAGTATTATATCAAATATAAAAATTGAAAATTACTATTTTAATTTCAAATATTATATAAAAACTTTAAATAGTATTTGTTTAACAAAAATGTGCAGTAATATATTTAAAACATTTTTTATATATTGAACAAATTTTATTTATTTATCTTAGAATACTTAGAGAAATTAAAAATAATGAGTTTAAATTTTACAGGATAAAATAAATAAATAATATTTTTACAAAAATTAAAAATCCTAATTTACATGGTTTATAAAGAATAAAATAATAATTTTAAATTTTATAATAATAAATCAATTTTTGATAATTTTACTACTACTAATATATATTTTTAATAAAATAATCATTTACTTTTTTTTACTATTCTTTCTTGTTAGTCAAGTTTAAAAAATAATTTTATACTTGAATAAAACTTATTTTTTATCAATTGTTTATACTAATAGTATTTTATTGAAATATTTATAAATTAAAATATTTATTTTTAATTTTAATTGAATAAATTAAAAATAAAAATAAGAGACTGAAATTTTATTTTAATTTAACTTTTGAAATTATAATTTGTATGTAAAACTTTGTTAAAAAAAGTGAGATTTATAAAATTTTATAAAGTTTAAGAAATAATAAAAACCATAATACTATATATCGTTTCTTATTCTTTTCTCTGTCAATTTGGGATATTTCATGGATTTATCCAGACCCATAGTTTGAGAGCTTTGTCCTTTTCTCATCTTTTCAAATTTTTGTTCATTTAATTCTTTTTGTGGTGCAATACCAATTTCCAGAAAAAATAGCAACATGTGTTTTGTTTTCTTTGTAATCACATCTATTGCACCTTCATAGCTGCTAAAATACTTCACACAATAGCATGGAGAGGGAAGGATTTAAGTATTGTCTTTAAATTTGAATTTTATATAAAAAAATTAGTTAAAAGAGAATATTAATAAAAGTGATTTTATAAGATTTATAGCAGAAATTGGTTATTAACAAAAAAAAAAATAGGAGAGCATTTTACTTACCTTATTTTATTAGATAAATATTTATATATTTATATAAATATATGAAATTTAAAAATTTATATTATTTTTTTATGTCATAAATAACTATTAAAGTTATAAGCATTTTTTTTAACTTATTAATTTATTAATATTTGTCTTCAGTTATAATTCCTAAAAAGTTATAGTTTTCTCTTAGTTTAATGGCTTTTCATCAACTTAAGTTGATATTTTAAATTATATACGCATAAATAATAAAATGGAAAAGTAAAATAAATATTATATAAAATAATATTATTGTAAAATAATATACAAAATCAATTCTTTAGTTTTATGAATATATTGTATGTATTTTTTATTATGAATATTTAAATTGATTTTTATAATAAATTGTAACCGTAAATGAACTCAAAATTAATAATTTTTTATTGATATTTATTCATTTTACTTTTAAAGATTAAACTTTCAAATATAATGACATTAAATTTTCATAAATAAAATATTATTTTTTAATATATTTTAAAAGATAATTAAATAATATAAATATAAATTAATAAAGAAAATCAATATATAATTGGAAATAAAATAAATAAATAAATAAATAAAGAGGATGAATGTGTAATTAAAGATAAATAAATAAATATAAAGGAAAACTAGTGCATAAAGTTGTCAAAATAGATTGTTGAAAGTAGTCTGTCTTAGTCTTATGAGTTAAGTAAAAAAACTTGATAGTCCGATCTGACCTCTATTTTTAAACATGGCATCAATTTTGTAAGTTGTCAAAATGGACAACTCGACTGACACTATCACTGATCCTACAGGATAAATAAAAAAAATTGATGGTCCAACCTAACCTATACTTTTAAACGTGCCATGATTTTTTTGTCTAGTTTTACCCTATGTTAGGTTGACCGACTAACATGCCAAATTTGATCTGGATTGAAAATTAAAAATATATTATTAACTTGTTTATATAAAAATAATTAATTAAAAATATTTAAACAAATTAAGGATACATTTTAAAAATTTAAATTATATTAATGAATTAATTTTTATTTAAAATATAATTATTTAATATATAAATTATAAGAGAAGATATTCATTTAATATATAAATTATAAGAGTTAAAAATTTACTCTTCATTATCATCATTCACTTTTTTAGCAATTTATTAATCTAAAATTATCTTAATCATTAAATCATGCAATAAATGAATGTTGAAAACTTTATCTTATATTTACTCTTAGAATAAGTAAATTTTTTATCAAATTAATTTGTAATATATATATATATATATATATATATATATATATATTAATAAAATAATAGCATTGTTATTTTTATTTAAAAAATTATTATTATTCTATAAAAATTGATCGACCCACAAACTTAAGGTTAACTTAACCTAAATCCATGTAGGTAATGACCTAAACAGGTCAAAGCAAAGCCTAATATGTTGGGAATTTTCGAACAGAAATATTTCTTAACCATAAATACCTAATATGTTGGGAATTTTCGAGCGGAAGCATTTCTTAGCTATAAATATCTAGTAATGATCATTCAACTTAACGATACACTTCTTAGCCATCATACTCAACTTATTCGGTCATCGGGACAAAAAGATTCTCATAAATGGGTCATGAGTCAACCATATAAGAGAATGTGACATCACCTTCAACCCAAAACATTAAGATATTAGGTCATAGGTTTTTCTCACTTATAAGTTACTCAATTTTTTCATTTCTACCCAATGTGAGACTCAGGGTTGGCTCAAGGCCCAAGCAACTAAAGCCCTTGCTTTAGGCCTCTTAAAAAAAAAGGTCTCCCAAATTTTTTTGAATACTAATATTATTTCTAACAATTTTTTTTTAAGAAAAAAAATTGGTTAGTTAATATTAATAGTTAAAGAAATCCAAAAAATTTTCTTTTTTATCTCTATTCTTTTACTAATTAATTTTAATTTTTATCTTCTTTTCTCTCTCTATGTGACTTTTTAGTTCTCACCTATTCATTCTCTTTACTTTTCGGACTACTCAGTTTGAGAGTTTGATACATACACATAACACATTAGTTAATGACTCAATATTTTCAATTTCTCATTTGAGTCATCTCTTATATGTTGTGTACTTGTGTTGGTTGTTGGCGTTTTGCTTGTGTGTGTTTTGATTTCACTGATTTCAAGGGGTAGAATGAGGCAATGCAACTTAAACAATGAGTTATTTGACATTTCTTTTTTTGCAGTGCGACAGTGCGTCATATTAGGTAAAAATATGAAATTTAAAACTTGTTGTACATTAGGATACTCTGATAGTGTTTCTTTCAATCTACCGTTTATCATTTTCATCTTTACAATTTTGTTTATCGTTTATTTTCTTGATAACTCACAACCAAAACTAAGTTTTATTGTTTCGATTTATTCGTTTTTATATACTTATCTAGTGTTTTATATATTATAATTTTCAGAATTAAATATCTTAAAGGAAATTATAGAATTGAAAAAATGATAAATCAATTGACATTCTTAATTATATAAAAAAATAAATTATTTTCCAAATGCATGTATAGTTTATAGAATAATGTTAACAATTCCGAGTATTAGTTGCTTACGAAAGGAGTTTTTCAAAATTAAAAATAATAAAAATTTATTTAAGATCAACCATGTCTCAACAAAGATTAATGGATTGACTTTATTATCTATTGAAAAGAAATGTTAAATAAAATTAATTATGACAATTTAATAGATAATTTTGCATCACAAGAAGCTCGAAAAATAAATTTTAAATAAAATTATGATACATTTTAACATAAATTATTTTATTACTAAATAAAACGCCGCATTCTTAAATTTGCTTTAAACCTCCAAAATCCTTGAACAGTCTCTGGTGGGACTTCAAACTCACTTGAATTCTCAACATAATATGTTTATTAGACCTTTCGAACCGACTCATCGGGTTAAACCTATTTTGATACATTTACAAATGTAAAATTAGAGATAAATTAAATGTAAAAAAGATAATCACATAATTGAAAGTAAACAAATATAAAAGATAATCAATATGAAAATAAAGATAAATAAATAAACAAATATAAAATAGAATAAATGCATAACTAAAGATAAATAAATATTAAAGAGAAGTAATTCATAATCGAAGATAAATAAATATAAAAGATCATCGTATAACCCAAAAATAAATAAATAAATGTAAAATATAAAAGATGATTAGTACGAAATTAGAGGTAAATTAAATATAAAAAAATAAATAGAATGATGTGAAAGACATCTCACCCAACCATCATAATTAAAAATAAAAAACAAATAAAATTATAAATATCTCTTTTTTCTTGAATTAATATTTTTTCTGTTTATTTATTTAACTAGACATGTTTACTTTACATACACAGAATTTAAAAAAGGAAAATGAATTTGTTTGACATAATATAATTATTTTTCTTCTTATTTTCTTATTTTTCTCTTTCTTTATTTTTGTTCTTTTCTTTTATTTTTCTCTCACTTAATATTTTCTTCAATTAAAAATAATATATTAAAATTTGAAAATGTAAGTCTTTTATTATTATTGA